TGAAGTTGTTTGGAGTGTAAAGCGTGTGTCATCAGCCGCACATCTAGGGCTACAGGATGACAAGGCAAACACAACAGAAACCGTGACAAACTGCTTATATTTGTATTTCATACGTTATATTATAAAATATACTTTAATATAATATAATACAATATAATTGAAAATATAACATATTCCTGTGATGGCAAACCTACTAGAATATGATTAATAACATAATTACAAGTAGATTTAACAACTGTCATCTATAAAGTGGTCGACTTTGCTGAACAGAGTTATTGGTGATTTTATTTCCCTTACAAAGAAGCAAAGAGCTAATGTTTGCAGTTCACAGAGTGGACAGTTAGCCTGATCTCATGTGAAATATGGTTCTCTAAGATAATAATAATCAATAAACACCAATGGATTCACTAAAGCATCATGAACATGGATGAGTTCGAAGCTAAGTGTTCAGTGTCAGGTCTGTTTCACACCACACATGTAAACAGGTTTTAAGATGTGCATATGTTTTGACACCCATGTTATTTATTCACAATGTGTGTGTGCGTGTGTATATACACAAATATTAGTTTGTTGTTAGTGTTGTATTAGTTAGCACTGTATTTGTTAATTAGTTTGATTTTAAATAAATACACTAAAAATAAACAAATTAATGTATAAATAAACAAAATATTTATATATTCATTCTATTTGTTAATGTTTTTAATTGCAGAAATTTGTAATGGGGGTTATGTGTTTGTATTCAGAATTTGTATGTATTTTAGCATGCCTATTTAGATTTTTTTTGTTGTTGTTGTTGATACATTTGGACCTGTCATTGTTATATTTGGTCATGGGTATTTAGGGTCATCTTGTTGCTTATACAAATATTTTGTCATTATTTTCATTTCATGATTTAAATATTTTATTCTTTTATCAGTTTATTGTTTTAATGAAAAGCTTCTTGCACTTGTCTGTGGTGTGAATCAACTTAAGAATGGTATCAATTCCAATTCAATTCTATTATTAAACATTCTAAAATATTGCACTATATATGCCATGACAAAACTGAATGAATCAATCAGGATTTTGGACATGGTGTCTGAAGTATAGCCCCTTGATGGAGGGAAAACTAAATTGAGAAGTGAGTTGAAATGCAGGGAGAAGTGTGTGAGCACTCTGAATGATTAAACCAGGCTGGAAGATCAGCACAGGTTAAAATGTGACGACTGGCATGAGTTTCTATCACAGGCGCATCCGCCTGCATTTATCCTAATTATCTCAAAGACCTTCATAATCTTTTGATATCTCTCTTAGGGTTCTAAGAATGAAGATTATGCGCATCCTTTTGGTTTCCTGAAACTATGAAATGGGCTACACTGATTCTAAAGGGAAGCTCAGATATGATTTATATGTGCTTAAAATGTTGTCTAAAGTGAAATAACACCGTAATCAGCACAAACTGGTCTACAATAATATGTGAGCAGCATGTATGTACGTCATTGTGTTTTTGAGAAAACAACGTTTATGCGTGCTTAGTGAAAAACTAAAATTTTAAAGTCACTGAAATAAGGCCATAAAACACATACAGAACATTTAATCACAAGACTTTTGAGAACTGATCTTGAAGTCTAGAGTTTTTGCTTCAAAATTATGTGAAAATCATCTTCACAGAAAACAATATATTGATTTAAATTTTCTAAGACACTTTTTGTGTAGAAAAGGTATATGCGAGTAGGCGTGAATGATCATGAATAATGATGTGATTCACACCTGAGAAGACAAAGGCCTGCATAATGAGCTGCATAATGAGCTGTCAGGTGTGTGACTGAGAGGGAATTGCTACAAGAAAGAATGTGAGGAAAAAATAAATGTTTCAAACAGATAATGCGCGAATGAGACGGCTAAAAGCACACCCTGTATATTTTCTTTATTTTGCAAAAGCACAATGTTTTGTTGATATTGTGAGTGTACACAAATAAAAGTAGTTATTAGGGTTAGGGTTAGGAATGGTGTATTACTCTTATGTGTACAAACAAAAATGAAGGAGCATTTTAAGTTCTTTTTGTTCTTATCAGTAAAACGTGCACGTGGTGGCGCCGGCGCCACAGTCGAACCCAGGAGGTTTTAAAGGAATAGTTAACCCAAAAATGAAAATTTGCTGAACATTTTCTTGCTCTTAGACTATCTAAGATGTAGATGACCTTGTCTCTTCAGTTGTTTGGACTCTCATTCTGACGGCACCCATTTACTGCAGAGAATCCATTGGTGAGCAAGTGACATAATGCTACATTTCTCTAAATCTTTTCTGATGAAGAACATCTTGGATGGCCTGAGGGTGAATTTTCAGCTAATTTTTAAATTTTGGGGTTGACTATTTTCTTAAAATGGCATAAAATTTAACAAAACTCATTTTGCAAACAACCGATTTAATTAAAACCAGTCTCAGGTTAATGTTGCGCCACACTTTCATATGAATAATTCGACTGCACTTTGTCAGAGCATTCAGAGAGTAACATTAAAAGAGTAACTTAACCCCATTTATTTACAGACCTAATTACAGGATCCTATCTAGTATTGAAAGGTGGCTTGAAGTTCTGGCCGTGGATATTTTAGTTAATGGTGTCCCTGAGAGATATATGTGACAGTCCTGGCTTTCCTCTCAGATGGCAGAAGGCAGAGGGCATTAATATTTACCAGTCTCAGGGGGGTCAAGGCAAAATGTATTCATCTCTCCTAAATAAAATATGTCTATGGTGCACTCTTTCCAAGGTCCACAACAGATTTATTGTCACTGGCTTGTTATTTATTTCACCATTGTTTTTTGTGCCTCTTGCCATCTGAGTAAAAGAAAGAAGTTGTATCGGCTACATTAAGCTGTGGAAGTCATTATAGTCACCCGGATATGGGCTAAATCAATGGGGAGAGCTGTGGCTCAGTCAGATGTAGTGTGGATGATAATGGCCTGTGCAACTGAGAGATTGATGAATAGAGATCTGCAACATACTGGTTTTAATCTAGTGTTAACCTACCTTGAATATAAATGACTGATTATAATGTTATCAAATTAAAGCATTATTTTATATATTATAATTTCAACTACATCTGTATCTTGTTTGCTGTGTTACCTACCTTGAATATGAATGACATTTGATATTCACTTCAGATAACTTCTAAAGTAATAACATCTGTCTGTCCGGCCGTCTGTCCATCCATCCAGTACAGTGCACGCACACACACACACACACACACACACACACACACACATTTACTTAGCTATCTAAATGGGGACATTCCATGGGCGCAATGGTTTTTATACTGTACAAACTGTATATTCTATTGCCCTGCACCTAAACCTACCCCTTACAGGAAACTTTCTGCATTTTTACAATAAAAAAAAAAAACGTTGTTTACTTTATTTTTATATCAGTTTTACAAATGAGGACGTCCCCAAAGGGAGGTTTTTGGAGATTTTGTCAGGTTAGCTCACTTTTGGGTACAAATTTGTCCCCAAAATATGGTTAAGTATACACACACACACACAAAACTGTCTGGTTTGCTATCCTTGTGGGGACATTCCATAGGCATAATGGTTTTTATACTGTACAAACTGTATTTTCTATTGCACTACACCAACCCTACACCTAAACCTACCCCTTACAGGAAACTTTGTGCATTTTTAGATTTTCAAAAAAACTTTCTGTGTGATTTGATATCTTGTTTACCCGTGGGGACCTCAATTTAGGTCCCCACCATGACACGAGTCCCCATGAGTCTGTGTGTATTCAGGTTTAAGTCCCCACCAGAATAGAAAAACAGGTACACACACAATATAAAATACATACATTTTATATATAAAATAATTTTTATAAATTATACATGAACCATTTTATATATATAAAAATAATGTCTCTGTGTGTGTATACATTATATATTTTAATTTCAACAAACTGAAAAACTACTAGTTTCTTTGAATTTAATTTTAATTTGATGTACTTCTGTTCAAGTTTGAATCTGCCTGTTTGCTACGTCAATTCAAATTCAAGAACTGAACTGCAAAAGCATTCTCAATCCAATTCTGAATAGTTAACACGTTCACTTTCCTTTGATAAAATCATCAAAATACTCAAATGTCTTCCTATATAAAGATGAATCAATGGTAATGTGTAAAGTTCACAAACTAAAACAGCAGGTGTTTAAAAAGTGGAACTATTTTGTAATCAGAAAGGACAGATCAGGAGGTTGAGAAAATGACAGCTTTACTATAAAGAAAGGCGTCTCGAGCAGATTAAGTTGCAGCATCTTGTCATACACGCATACATGTTGAACAATAATGATTGATCATTTCTATGATTTGCAGAAAAACACTGTGAACCTGCATGATAAGCAATTTAAAAAACCTGCTCCGATGCACAAGTGGCTAAAAATACAATAAGGATGATAATAATAATAATCAACATGTATGGTTTTGGGAAAAATCAAACGTGTCATGAGAACAGCTGTGGCAATTATTGTGTTTTATGGTAACTAGATTATGCATCACGGAACACAGAATGATCCGACATCGGCAGAAAGACAGAATTAGCAATTTACCAACAAATGTATAGTTGTATATATTTTATGAACATCACGAGCCCAGTACAACTCATGGACAGGGGAACAATCTGTGAAGACAATAAAAGTGGCAGCAAGGTTGGACAAAACAAGTTCAAGCCGACTCTGAATTGCCTTGATGTTAAACTGTGACTCACAAAGCTACAGCAATGCAACATGGGATCTAAAGAGTTGTCTGTGCATGTAAGTCGCTACAAAAACTGGTAGACTAGGCTTACTGTGCAGAAAACAGAACAGAGAAAGGCAAACGAGGAAAGTATTGCTTTGAGGTACTGGAGAGAAAGCAGATCCGATGGATCCATGGAATTTCATTAACATGTATTTCTTTACTGCGAAGGCATCGTGTACGACATCGCATCCCTATCAGAAACTTACGACCTGATATTCAGCCCTTTCAAAGAGCATGATAGATCAGCTGGGCTGTCACAGGTGAAAGGCATTATGGGAGCCTGTGGTGAAGTAATACATGAACAGGAAATGACAAACCATTTTCTCTGGCATAACACAGTTCAAATGTTTACAAAAAAGGTATCATCCTGGGTGCAGAATGCTACAATGGTACAGCTCTACAGCATTTGCTATTTACATCACCGGTAATGGTGTCAGCCGGGTGAAATCGAGACGTGAGTGACAAACTATGCCACAATTAAAATGACAAGACACAAAAACAAGTCTCATTCAAATACCCAAGATCACCGGCTGAACCCGAATCCAAACCCATGCCTGGAGTCTTCCATTTTGGGATGCACCAAAAAGCATTTTTATTATGAATTATTTACTTACTGTAACACAATAAACCTGCTCATAAAGAAAAAATAAGATATTTACATCATGATCGAGGCCTTATTTGAGAAAAAATAAATGCACAATATTTCCATTTTATGTTATGTAGAAATTACATTAAATTAATTCTAATATATTAACACAATAGCAGTGATATGACAATAATACTAAAAAGAGCAGCACAATTAACAAATAAGACATACTCCTTTTAATGGTGACATCACATTTCATATTTTACATTGCCACAAACATGGTCCTTGATCTCTGAAGTATGTTTTCATCTACATTTCACAAAGAAGCTTTCACAATGTGCTAACGTCACAGCTCAGACTCTGAGAAGCTGTTGTGCAGTCATCAATAAATTATTAATATATTAGTCCTTATTATTTTTATAAATACAAATCAAGATAAACATGTAGAAGGGTCCAAAAGTTTAAGATCACTAGTGAAAATGCACGGACATTGTTTTGTAATTTAATAAACATTTTTCATTACAAATTGTCGTCAGCAAAACATTGTAAGTTTCAGAATGTCTTAATATATGTTTTTTTTAACCTTTTGCTTTAATGACAGCAGAAATGAAGCTGCGTGAGCTCAAGTTTGTGTAAAACCAAACGATCATGTCCTCCAGCAGGATTTGAGAGCATCCAAAGACACAAGATGCTCTTTGAATGCAGAAATGTTACAAGTCACAAGAGACTCATTATTTCAATTGAATCAATCGCTTATTTAATTAAATCTTAAAGTTGCATTAAACAGAAGTTGCCATCGTGTTTTTTTCCCTATTGTGAGGTAATCCGAGTGAAACAGCTTCTCGAACAAAGGAAAGGAGATTGTGTCCATTGAGAACTGAATGGCACATAAATATATATTTTTTAAATAATGATGTGCACAAACAAATAATTTATATTAAACTCTACAACATTCCATAAAATGAAGAATTGTGAATTTTGATTTCACGTTGACATTAAATGTATCAGTTTTTAGTTTTCAATTTTTCAAAATCTTAATGTTGTTAATTTCCAGGTGCAATTAAAAAAAACTCCCAGGTTTTCAGTGTGGCCTCATACTTTTGAACCCTACTATAAGTACATAGTAGTGCAGAAGATAAAGTAATAGTCGTATTATGAGAGCACAGGTAGAGAGTGGCACTACAGTTACAGTGGCATGTCTTCAGGGCAGTGTCTCAGCCAAACTCCGGACAAAGAGAATCAACACTGGATCAACCCCAAACAATATGTACACTACTCATTACAGACTTTGTATGTCTATATTGAGTTATTCATGTCTAGAAATCCTCATATGACAACCCAGTTATGTATTGATGCACCCCAAACTTTTTTAGACTCCTTGAAGAAACTTATTCTGATGCTGAAATTTCCACGAAGCTGATTTAAAAAAACGAAAGAATGAAAAACAAATGCGATCATTTCATCATCATCATCATCATTCTCTTTTGAGGACTATATAAAGCAAGTCTTATAATAAAAAAAAAGAATATATCATTGTGTATTTAACTCTTCGTATTACAACCTCTCCATTGTCCTTTGCGCTAAAATACTACCATGCTTCAAAATATTGTCTTTTTATCTTCATTTACATGTGATGCCATCTAACCTCGGCCGATAAATATAGGTGGCATTGAATAGTTGCAGCCAGTGAAAATATATTAACAGCGCAATGGCAAATGAAAGCATGATATCAGTCCCTGTATACAGGAATACAGCCAGGACTGAATGTTTTTTTTTTCTTTGCGAAAGTCAACATAAAAAAGTAAACACGAGATTCTAACGTCCAATTTTAACCCAAAAGCATGATAATGATAATACATAGTGCATAGTTTTATAAAGCACATCAAACCGTGCCAGCACTGTATACAGAATTCATGTTTTTGGACGCATCTTATCTGAGGTGGGGAAAAAAAGGATCATTCACTGCGGAAATATCAATATGATAAACGTATTTGCCGACATTCTGCAGTTGAGTCGATCCACAGTTGATATGTCACAGGTCTGGTGTTTGTATCTCTGTTTCTTTGATGCTAGCTACAGTTAAGAGGAGGAGGAAGGGGCAGATTAAAGATTTACAAAATAAAAAAAGAAGAGCATAAGCAACATGAAAAGCTTGAAAGTCCGCCCCGTCGCCCTAAAGGCACACTAAAGTCCGTGTGGGGCATGGGGACACCTTAAACAAAGGTTTCTGAACACCGTTTTTGGCTCACCTGCCTTTCCCCATCCCTTGTTCAGAAGGATCATGCACTCCAGTGCGTTGTATGTGAATACTTGTAATTCTCTCTGTATATATATATATATGTATTTTTATGCATGTAGTGGCACCCTCCGGTCCGCTGGGCGGTGCTGTGCTCAGGTCAGGGTACTATGCCAGAGAGTAGATGACATTAACGGGTGACGTGGCTTCTGAGCTCTCGTTTCCTTCCGTCTCCTCTTTGTCCTTCTTAACTGTGTACTGGCCAATGAAAGAGCCGTCCTCGTTGAACTGGCCGTCTCCTCCTTCACCATAGTCCACCAGACTGTCGTCGCTCTCTTTTACGTTCCCATCCAGGGACGTCTGGCTACCCTGCAATGGCTTGTTGTCTTCATCACTGCTGTTGGGAGAAAGAGAAAAAGAGTTAGAACATGGTTCGGCCGGTTAGCATGGACCTGTTACAGTAGCATCCTTTGGTGGATGTTGTAACTACAATAGATTCAAAATAGAGACCATTCAAAAGTAGCCATGTATTATGATTACATAAACATAAGCAATTTAAAATGTATTTTATTATATATTTAAATGTTTTTCTTATATTATTATATATGACATAATTTTTTTCTTTTTGAAAGAAGTCTCATGCTCACCAAGGCTGCATTTATTTGATTAAAACTACAGTAAAAATCAATATTATAATACTATTTTTTATTTCAATATATTTAAAATGTAATTCAGTCCTGTGATATCAAAGCTGTTTTCAGCATCATTACTCCAGTCTTCAGTGTCACATGATCCTTCAGAAATCATTCTAATATGCTGATTTGCCTCTGAGAAGATCATAATTTATTATTATCAAGTTTGAAGTTTTTTTTTTTTTTGTGGAAAATGTTTTAAGAATACTTTGATGCATAGAAAGTTTAAAAGTTTTTTTTTTTGACAGGAATCTTTTGTAATATTATAAATACTTAAGACTTATAAGTATGAATAATAAGTATAAGTATTAATAAAAAAAAAATTCCTGACCCCAAACTTTTGAACAGTATAGTGTCTCTCTCCATCTCTTTCTGTCAATATATTTTATTATCATAGACATACATTTACCTTATTTATATAACGTTAATCTATTCAGCCTTGTCAAGGTGACACTTTTTTATGACTCCAAAGTTATCAGTCACGTGACATTTACTGCTTAGATGATTGGCTTAAAAAATGCTTACGGAACTGATCACAATAAAACTCCTTACAGAGATTAATGGTAAAGTTAACAAATAAATTTCTCCGGGTAGTGTAAATCTTAATCCATGGAAAATAAGCTAGGATAAGGGGGGCTGTGAACCAATAAAGTCAGGAGTTTTGAAATTCCCTCAAGGTATTCAATGCCATCTGAATAAAGATAAACCGGGCAAAGAATACTAAAATGTCAAAATCCTATTTCCCAGATACAATATGTGGCATCTAAATGTAATGACATTTTCAAAAAAATGGACAGTTTAGCTTTTTATTCCATGTAAAAACTATTCCAACGTGAGCATGCTGAGAAAAACATTTAAAATCTCACTTTTGAGAAACTTTAAGGCGAAAAAACAAAAAAAACTCCCAAGGTGAAAGAACCACAAATGTATTACTAAAGACAAAGACAAACTCTTTTCTCTCCACTCTTTGTATTCTATAAATGATATCATGGCTATAAATTATTCATTGCACTATATTATCACAGGTGGATCTTTCATCCCCTGTCCTGCCCTGTCCATGCCCAAACACATGCGACTCGTATTAAAACGGACCTCTGCTGGGCGGTAAGAGTGTCATGCATGAGGAACTGGGACCTACATCAACTGAGAAGCACCAAGAAAACAACATCTATCAGATCCTAAAAAACGTTGACTTAACACAGAGGTCCATCTTTAATTTCATGTAATATCCATGGACCTTGTTGTAAATTGTATTACGGATGGGCTGTTAAATCGAAATGTAAGTAAACTACTTTGTCCTCTCACAAAACAAGGTTTACAACCAGGCTCCATTATATTATCCATTTCTATGGGTCATAAAAATGCTTTTACCAACTGCATGTATCCTCTCTATAAACAGGAATCAATTCTGTGTTAAATGTGTACATTAAATATAAATGGAATGATATTACCAGGTGACACGGTTCTGTGCATGCACCATGACAACTGGAAAATCATGGTAGTTTAGTTATTAATCTTTAGATTCAATAAGGCACATTCAGGAAATGCTTTTTCCCCCACCAAACACACACTCTGCACCAGCAAGAGTTCAGGGAATAATGAGAATGAGTTTTTGATTTAATCGATCAGTCCTCACACTCACAGTATCACCTGCTTGAATGATGTGAGTGGAAATTTTCAACGAGCAACATGTATTTCTCATTGTACATCATTTTTGACAGAATATGTGAAAACTGTA